GGACATATTATGCAAAAACTTGCTTTTCCCAGCATTGTAGGAGTCTACAATGCTGGGAAAAGTTGTAGGAAAGAGAGGAAGAGGACAATCAGCAGTAAGGTGGATGGACTCAGTTATAGAAATGATGGGTGCACACTTGGAAGTCCTGAAAGTCTTGGTAAGAAAATCTTGGAGAAAATTGATCTATCTGGTTGTTAAGAGTTGATGCTGACATGATGGCACATAATCAATGAATCAATTTCAAAGCCAACAATACTCAATTACTGAGGGGAATACATTTTTTTTCTCTTATAGTGTCACAACTGAATACAATCTAGATTTGTTTTGTCAAGTTAGAATTGAGGAAGGGGGGGAGGTTATTGGGAAATCATATATTCCTAGCATTTACACTATACATTTTGTTTCTGCAAAAAATTATTTCCCCAATTTACATTCTAGGTAATATTTCCTGTGCTCTCATGAGCATTCTGTGAACTGTGATTGCATTTGGTGTGCCACAGGTATTAGTTCAATAGATGGAGATGGCATGAAATGATGCCTGTCTTGTCAGAACTGCTTGATATATTTTAAGATAGATTACCCACTTTCTGTTTTAAGAATAGAGAACAAATATAATTATTTAAACAAAAGTAGAAGGCTGCAGAAAATGTCTTCAGAATTCTTTCCTGCACAGATGCATCCTATTATTTTTATTTTAAATATTATATATTTATTTTCTTTTATTTTTTTAAAGTCATGGTTTAAAGCTTAGACTGTGTGCTCTCAGGCTGTAACATATACTGAATATTTAATGGGATGCTTGTCAATTTCATTTCCCTCTTTTGTTAGAACAAGTAAAACTGACACATTCTTCAGATAGTTCTTTTCATCTGGTTACATCCTGTCCCACAGGAATTGGATAGAGTGTTTCAGAGATTTGCATGATCTAGCAACTGAAGAGATGATAAATTTAATACAGGAGAGACTGTCACTGGGAACATTCCTTCTAATATAGCTGTATGTTCTTGATCTGTAACTTTATATACCTCCAAATGGGTGACAGCCTATGTATGTATGTACGTACAGTATGTATGTATGTATGTATGTATGTATGTATGTATGTGTCAGGATTTTCTTTCTCATGGGAAAGGATTCATCCTGTTATCTTTACAACAATAACAAATAATATTTTGACTACAGAGAT